AGTCCATGCACGATTTCGTTTCGTTAATCATGCATGGATTATGAGCATTAATGTAGAAAAGTGATCACTTCAGAGTTTGTGAAAATTTCCGAGGGACAGAATCGATGACCGTGGGTGTACATATATGTTTCATGTAACCACCGCTTGCAGCGGATACATTGAATCCAATCTACTTTTTCCAATGTGAGGTCATAATTCTCTTCACATCCAACACATACATTTAATAAATTACTGTCAGACACATGTAATTTATTTTTTTGTTTAGAACAGCTACTGCTTGGAACAGCTTTGGTATGAAGCTTTTTCTGAGTCTTTTTAGATGTTTGTTTAATAATCTTTCTGGGCGTAATTTTTAATTTTAGTTTTTTAATGTTTGCAGAAGATGTTAAATCAATAATTTGATTATTTCGACGTTTTGACGTAAGATTTTGTTTTATAGATGGTACTGGAGAAATTTCATTTAAAACTTTTGTAGGAGAGACAAAAACAGGTTGTATATTTTCAACAATAATATCATGCTGTAAGTCAACAGTATCAAGGTCAGAATCAATATTTTGTATATCCTGTATGAAATTAGATGTATTAACTTCATTACATTCATTTTCCAAAGAAATTGAAAGTAATGGGGAAATTGGTCTCTCTGGAGTAGGATTAGTTGAAATATTTATTATTATCAGAATTAACAAATGCATAATCAGGATTTGCATCAGGATTAAAAGGATAAATTCCAGTAGCTCTAAATCCAGAAATAGCGTTTGCTGGTGTTGCTGATTTGTCCCAGGTCTCATATCATAATTTTCCAAATTGTAATCGAGTAAGTTTTCGATCAGGATGATTTTTCATCCTATTAGAAGCAGCATTATAAAAATTATTTTTTACCGATTTAAAAACAGCACGATCTATAGGTTGTAAATAACGTATGGTATGACTGAGAAGACAAATTAATAAAATTCCTTCAGATTGCGCAAATTTAAACATTTCAATAGAATTGCAATGAGAAGAATGGCCATCTAGTATCAAAGCTGTAGTTCCTACTAGCTTTCGAGAAAGAAATTACATTTTAAGCCAGTTAAAAAATAATGTCGTGTTTATATAAGCTGACTTTTCAGACATATATGATAAACAACAGATCCTGGAGACATCTCTTATAGAAAAGTATTACTGAAACTACTAAAAAATATGCAGTAATAAATTACTGTAATTACTGCTAGTAGTATTTTGGCCGGTAGTTTAGAATTACTGGACAGTATTGAATTACTGATAGTAATTTATCACTGAACTACTAAATAGTATTGGATTACTGGCAATAATTTATTACACAAAATTACTGGTGTGAAAAATTACTGAAACTATTTGCTATGGAAAGTACGGAATTACAGGATATATATATTAAATACTCGTGAAACACAATATTTTTTAAATATTTATTTATTCTTTTTTCAATAATAAATAACGCATCATGTACATCAATGCGTTTATGCGTTTACGCGTCATATATGTTTTTATATATTATAACTATATTTAAAAAATGAAAAAAAATAGATGACGTTTTATTGCTTTTCTCCTAACGGTTCTTTTTTCTGATTTTCCTTTTGGTTTGTTTTGTTACGCCATGTTTTGGATTTGTTGTTTAGTTTAATCTTCATCGCCTTGAAAATTTCGGCGGCGTTGTATAAGGGTCCGTCTGCAGGGCAATTAAATTCTTTTGTAATATATTCTGTAAAAGAAATAATCATTTATTAAAAAAAATAATTTGCAGATTATTTTATTAGAATTTCAACTTGTGTAAAGCAATCTACAACAATATGTAAGTGCATATATATATGTATATACA